TCGGCGACGGGATCCATGAGCGCCGTGTGCGCGCGGAACTGGCCCCAGCCGTGCGCCGTCGTTTCCTTGATGAGCTTATGCGCCAACTTCCTGATGCGCTCCACGTCGTCGGGTACGTCGAGGCGGTAGGGGATACCGATTACGTGGTCTAAGGCAACCAGGGTCAGTCACTTCTGTTCTGTCACGGAGTATCGAAACATATGACAAGATGTTCGTTACTTACGCAGTTCCCGCATGCCGACAGCAAAGGCGCCGAGGTAATCGAACCCGAATTCGGTGATGAGCTTCTTGGCTACATCGTGTTGTTTCTTTGCATCCTCGCCGGATACCTTGGAAATTGGAGCCCACAAGAGTTGACCCCCGTTGGGAAGCCAGCTAGGTACAGTGTTAGCGATTGACATGCAGTAAAGTAAGGTATGGGATTAGGACTTACTTAAGGCACCTTAACTCTTCTACCGTAGGAATGCCTTGCATCAGCAGCTCGCGAGCGCGGAGAGGACTCTCTCGTGCGCGGTCCTCTGGCAGGAAGAATCTCGAGCCTGGGATGGAGAGGAATTCGTGCTTGATGACACTAAGAAGGACGTCGCGGACAGGCTTGGGTCCGTATACGGCACCGATGAGCTGCCACCGACCCATGTCGAGCTTCTTTGCAATCCCGTCGACCTCTTCTTCTGATAATGGCCCCTGCTTGTCCGTGTACTTGGACTTCGGCCCGCAATGCGCGGCGTTCAATAGTGTGTGGCGAAGGAAAGGCACGTTCTGCAGCACCATTTGCAGACGCAACGGACGGATAATGTCAACAGCCTTTGGCAGATCCGAGTCGTTCTCAAAGGTGATCTCGTACGGCTGGTAGCCTCCCGGGTTGGGCATTAGCCACATGCCAATCTTTGTCACGATACCCAGGTTGCTTTGAGAAAAGAGGCCATCGTTGTAAGGTCCGTATCCCGTGTTGAAGAGCTGCCATGTCTCGCAGCCAGGCTGCTCATCAGGTCGCAGGCTCGTATCCGCGTTGGGGTTGGGGACGCCACCCATACCGGTGCGCACAAGCTTTCCGTTCGGCAGAACAACCTCCATGCCGCAGTGCATACCCCAGTGGTCACCATACGGCGTGGCACCGACGCCGCGCTCCACAGCATTTCCGAGAACGGAACCCTGGCCTACGGGCACCGACATCCAGAGGTGCTCACGGAGGTTGTGTTTCTCGAGGTGCTCGTGCAGATCCCGGAAGCTGACGCCCGGCTCGAGGAGTACGTATGCACCCTCCACGTTGACTTCGAGGATGCGTTTCATGTGGTGGCCCAGGTCCATGACCACGGAACCGGGAACGCGTGGGGAAGCGCCGCCGTAGCCGAAGTTTCGGCCGAGGGAGATTGGCCAGACGGGCATGACGAGCTCGTTGCAGAGTGCGACGAGGGCCTGGACGTCCGGGACGTGGCGGGGCATGACGACGGCCGAGGCGACGAACTTGGTCTTCTCGTAGAGGGGGAAGTGATCGTGTGATTTCGGCTGGTTGAGGTATGAGTCGCCCTCTAGGGGCTTGTCCTTGGGGATGACGCGGACATTTTCGATGCCGCAGATTTCTTGGGCGCGGATGACGAACTTTTGGAATAGCTCGTTGGTGAAGTTTGGTGGAAGTGCGATGGGTTCCGGAATTGGCGCCATCTTGACGGGTCTGATCTGGTATGAGGCTGATTAAATGCGATATCTGGAGTAAGGGCACTTGGAATCACCAAACGTATCGCTAGAAAAGAGATCAAGATATATTGATGTCTTGTTTTGTGAGAAAGCTATATCAACTCGATCCGAGAGCACAGAGGTCTTTTAATAACTTTCATGATGTGATATGTTGCCTCTACGAGCTCTCCGATGAACCGTGCCTACAATGGGGGCCATGCTTGGCGGATTACTGTCAGATGCCGACTGCTTGATACATCTGTTCCACCACCGGCGTTGCGAGCTCTGTTGCATAGCTCGCGAAGTTGAGAAAGGCCAGGTACGGTCGTCCGTCGCGCGTGCCGGGCCCAATTCGGGCCAACACCCCGGGATGCCTTCGCGAGAGCGGGCGACAACTCGAGCCTGGAGTCCGAACCCGTTCGAGTGGAAGGCATACCAGCAGGCAGGGCGAAACCCCATAGCAAGTGGCGGGAGCCAACGGAGAATGGAAAAGTGTGTTTCCTTCAATGGACCATCAGTTCATTATGGACAGCTGCCTGATACGACAGATTGATCATAGAGGAATCGCTGTTTCGAGAGGGAAAGCTGTTCACCATGTGGCTTGTGAAGCGTTCGGCGTAGATCGCTGCCGTCCGTAGAAGAGTGGCGCTCAGTGGTCTGAGCCGTAGTGGACGACTATCGAGAGGACCGTGAGTTCGGAACTCTGTCAAACTTGACGTGGCGGACGTAGTGAAGACGTTTTGGGTCAGCCAGTTACCGAAAGAGAGCTCTGATGCGACAGGCCACCCAGCTTTGCTTCCTCCATGGAAGATGTTCGTGATGATTCGCGGGTTCGTAAAGCGACAGTGCGGAACGGGCGGACATGTTGTTGGAGAGGAATCTTGTCATGAAACGCTATCTGACGGGAAGACACAACCTTCACACAGACACCCGTTCCCGTCATTAGTTGCAGATGCGGCTGCAGTCTTGACAGTGTCTTACCGCTGCCTCGGGAGACGCACCATGAAACGAAACAGAGAGCCATTTGCTCTCTTTACCCCACGGACATTGGCTACCGGCCAGGCTCCTGTCAGCTTTTCCTTCGGCCGGCTTGTCCGAGGCGGCCGCATTCTCGTAGACATTTATCCATGAAATTCCGTCATCTAATCTTTTACATCTTGTTCCCAAACTGCCAGACGCCCCAATGGCGTGCTTGGCACAAGCAGAGGTGCCAGCCCTAAGGGTGCGGATAGGCCGGGGTAGAGGTCTCCCCGGAGGAGCAGTTGGAGAAATCTCGCATCGGCCATCCGCAGTTGGCGATGCGGTCACGGAACGGAGGTGCCGGGTGTTTCTAGAAGACTTCCCGCTCTGGGATTCTGCCGGTTCATGAGAAGCTTGGGGGACACCCAACCCCGAATGACACGCCATGACTGATAGCTGTCGTTGCGATTGCGAGGTGCGAACGAGGCTCTTTTGATGGATGCGAACCTACGGAAGCTTTGGTCGGGGGTTCCTGAAGTGATTTTTAAGTTGGGTGGATGTGTGCAAAGATACGGCCGACGGCCTTTTTCAACGCCCATCGCCTGGTTCCGAATCTCACTTTACCACAACGTCGGGCGAACTTGAACACCGTACTTGTTGATACGGAAACGTCATCCATCCCACATCACCCTTGATCCAAAAGCTTGGCCTTTGACCTTGGTAGCAGATGACCTTTGGGTGCTCCAGCCCTTCCGTTGGCGAACGGCTATTTAAGATTAGGGTTGCCTGCTCAAGACATCAAAGGGAAAGGCCGGCCGAAATCAATATTACATTAGTGTGAGGTCCGGACCTCCAAGCGGGTTTAGTAGCAACCATAATCCAACCTTCAAGTCATTTGCACCTGTGCCAATCTAGCAATATCGAGATCCGTTGGTTCAAGAGAAAGGTCTGAGCAAAGAACACCTTCACCGAAGCGGAACCTAAGCTTTCAGCAGTGATGGATCCAGCCCAGCTCGCCAATGCCGTCACCGAGCGGGTAACCATTCCTGTCTTGGGCGGCGTTGAGAACTGGAAGGAGCAGCTTAAGTTTATGCTCCAGACTCTGAGCAAGCAGCCAGGATATCTTCGTACGCGCTGGGGGCCATGGACTGAGGATCAACAGAAGCTTGAGCTCATCACCGGTACGTGACAATATGCCGGGCCAATTCATTTAGCTCAGCTTAAATAGCTAACAACCGGAGTCTCAAAATAGGTTGGGTCAGTCCGGATGCGCGCGAGAAGTGGCAGAGATCGAAAGACTTCGCCGAAGCAATGGCCCGGTTCGCGCCCGTACTAGACGGCGAGCCCGCGGCATACCTACTCCGATTCAAGCCTTACGCACCCCACGCCGTCATCAACTCCCCCATCGTCGAAACCCTAAGCTTCGAAGACTGCCGAGAGTCCGAGAACAGGATGCGCGAGGTGGTCGAACGAGCATCCAGGATGCCGGGCTGCAACGGCGTGGCAAGCGGGTATTCGCTGTGCCCACCAAGCTCATCCTCCGGCGACAGCACCGGCAGGACGTTCGTCGCGGCGATCGGGTGGACGGGGCTCGAGGCCAGCCGCGCGGCGGACAAGTCGGCGTACACGGGCGGTATGAAAACCGAAGTCCACCACGTCAACTTCAATTTTCCTGTCAAAGGATTTGGAGGATTATAGCGGCTTCTGTGCGTGTCCGGGTTGCATGATGTGGTTTAGCGGGTTTTAGACGAGCGAAGGCGTTCTATCAACGGTCGAATTTCCTATTTGCTTCACGCTTGGAACAAGTTTCTTGTTAGTGGCTTCGGGGAAGGGGGAAAGGTGGCGGAAGCGGGGGGGGCACGCACAGTTTTTTGGGATGGTGTCTGTACGCATCGAAAGTTCTCTTCGTCTTCTAGCTGTTCTTTGGGTAAAGATACCAGTAGTCGTGTCAACATCATGTCCCTTTGGCCCGATTTCTCGTGATTCTCTGCGAGGTCGACTCGAGCCATCGTATCTAGTGGCGACGCTAGAAAGCTGTCATTCGGAGCTGGATGCTGGAGCAAGAGCTGAGTGAAGCTATTGGTCGCGCGACCCAGGAACCCCTGCAGGGCAATATGCCTCGGTTCGTGCCTCGCTTCCACGAAACATGGCGAAGGAAGATGACGACTGGCCAGAGCTTCCAAGGGTCCCAGAGATCCAGACTTTGCTCGAGGCTCGAGCCCTCCCCTAGGCCGTCCCAGCCGGAGGGGGCCACTAGGGCCTGCAGCATGCACTCATTGCAGTCGCGAGACTCTGCTGGGTTCGTCCAGGGGCACCAGCTGGGCCCAGGGGTGGTGGCCTTCTTTCTTCATGCTTAACCTTACCAAATGCCGACCGTGTTTCCGAACACTGAATGCTGCAAAACGTGGATCACTGGGTTTGAGCAGCAGAGGGGCGTGGTTCACCAGCGTCACCGGGCGTTGATCAAAGGCCAAGACGCGGATGAGAGGAACCAAAGGTGGAATAGTGTCAAGGTCTTCGGTGAAAAGACGCCACAGCCGGTGTTGTGGTGGCTGTCGGGGCCCGAGGGGGAGTCTCTTCAGCTTCAGATCATCTTGTAGTCCCCGTTTCTCTTCAGCCACACCGTGCCGCTACGGCTTGAATCCGAAGGAAAGCCGTTGCTATCGTACTTGGCGGGCCGAGTGACAGCGAGAAACTGCGCATACCTAGACAGCTCGAAGAATGATTAGATGAAGGACGTTGAGAGAGTGTCAAGATGAAAGGGTTTTGGTAATTTGTTACGCGGATTCTGTGTCATTAGCGCAGAACCTCCCCGCATTTCCTGAGGCATGTCGATGTTAACCTGTTTGTCACTGGTACGCTGACCGCAGAAAGTTGTGGGCTCTCGGGAATGGCACCCAGGAGATCGCTTCGTCGGCCAGCAAACCCCTGACATGTCTTGGCGGCTCAAATCTCGCCTGGAACGGTAATGTCGAGGGGTTTCCTACCAATGGGCGGCGTCAAGATGGCCCCCAATGGGATGGTGTCATCTGGCCTGGCTATCTCGGCCTTCGTGTCTCTTTTGATACTAGACCCAAGGCCCTTCCTCCACGTGGAAGATATCTCCGGCGAGAACAATGCGGCCCTTCTTTGCAGAAATCCAGAGTGCCAGAGCTGTGGGTGCAGCAAGATCATGTTTCAGAAAGGCCCAAGGTGGCCTGGGGTGATATTTGGTCCCATGCATGCAGCATGAACTGCGGTTCGGAGCACACTCTGGATACGGCTCCCACGTCGTTTGGCAACTGTCTCTCTTCTTTGTGAGCCCAGTCGGCATTTGACTGAAGGTTTATGATGAGGGAAGAGGAGGTGTTTGTTATGGCGCAGTCTCCTTTGTTAAGGGCTTGGTAATTGCTGAATTGCTGAAAGTTCCCCCTTGATCGGCACCACGCCGGAAACTCTTGTTTGGTGTAACGGTCTTCTGCCGAGTCTGCCATTTGCCGGACAGTCTTGAATACTCTCGATACAATTCCTTCGACGAAAAGATCAAGAGAGGCGCAACGGGCTGTCTCGTTCCATCTCGGTGAGGGATTCCGATGAGGTATTGAGACGACGGAGATGCCCGCTGTCTGTCTGTCTGGCTGTCTATTGAAGAAACGCACGGCCTCCAAGCTGCATGCAGCATCTGTGAAAGACCAGGAAGCCATGCCGATCTGCTGATCCCTGGACCATTTCTTCCTCGCCCGGGTCCCCAACGAACATCGCACTCCCCGCCTGTGGTTCGCCAGTTCGTTCCCAGTCCACGAAGCTATTGACGACAAGGCCCCGTCACCCCTATAACAGACCCCGCTCTTTTATGGCGAATTTCTGCTCGAAGAACCAGGCTGGAGAACGTGACAAGATGGTATCCCAGAAAAGAGCAGCAGAGGGAACCTGCTTTCCGCTCCCGCGGATGGTAAGGAGGATCCCTTCTTGCGTGACTGACCCTCTCAAGATCGACGCCTGGGTTCACTTCTTCTTCAGCAAACCTTTATCCCCGGCATTTGCACCATGAAGAAATGACGGCACATCGCGAGACATGTCTATTGGGGGCCGGTCGTGCCTGTTGATCTTTTTCTTTTCTCGGGCCAGTGGAATAGGCTTTGCTATCTGGTAGTATTGTCAAACTTCCTGCCATCCTATGCAACCCAAACCATTGACGGATGAAGACATCACCGTCCATCAACTGTCTCAACTGGGCAAGAGAGCTACGAGAAGGGGGTGCCGATTGACTCCTTTTGCAGGACCTGTCGTCTCATAGTCCCCCACCACCCCTGCTTATAGTAACAGTAACAGACTGGTAGTGACTCTTGGAGTGCGACCTCTGCACCTCTGCTACACGTTTGTGGTGCGTGTGGCGTAGGCTAGAGGGTGGCACTAACAATTGTCACCACCATGTGGGTTCTTCGCCCGGTCTAGTCACCGCGCCGGCTGGAGGGCTCGATTACCTGTCGCGGCCTAGCCACCCTCTGCCGTTTGGGATCGCGAAACCAGAGCCTGCCAGGCTGCTAGACTGTTATTATTGCCACAGCACTGGAGAAGGGGAAATTTCTTAACTTACGGGCCGGAAAAGAAGTGGGTAGCCGAGCTTGACGAGGGCCAATCTGCTCCGGACTGTGGACGCACATCGTCGATTCTTAAAAGTATGCCCGTTTCCCCCTTCTCGACGGGCTCGTAGGGCTTTCTTTGAGTTTGAACTAGACGACATCTTGCTCCCCTCTCATCCTCGTCTCCTTCCCCACATACCCAATCTGGTATATCGAGGAGCCTTTCTTGAGAGGACCGAACCTCGACACATCGGATACGATACTTATTTAATACGAACGAATCGATTTTCCCGCCTTCGCCTTCTCCAGCATACTTCACGATGGCGGCATCAAAGACCGACTACCAGATTGCCTCGCTGGCCGCGGGCTTTACTATCGGTTTTGGTTTCTTGACAGTATGGGAGGCCATGAAGCAGACGAGACGGAATCGTAACCCCCTTCGAAGCACATACATCTACATGATGTGGGGTGAGATTGTCGCCAATCTCGTCATTGCCGTCATCGGATGGTTATTCTTAGATGGGATATTAGGACCAACGTGAGTATCGAAGTGCGGTATTTCTACTCTGTCCGAGCTAACACTATCGGTGTCAAAGAGTGCCGGTCTTATTCTTCATCCTATTCTTATGGGTGTGGGAGATCCAGTTGCTGATGCAAATCATCATCAATCGTATTGCCGTCATTGCGGAGAGTCAAAAGACCATTCGCATGCTGAAATGGGGAACGGCTGTGGTTATCACCCTGATCAATATTGCCGTCTTCTGCATCTGGATTCCCTCCCACCTTGACCCTCCTGTTAGCCAAACGTAAGTTCGACCATCTCCTGTACTGAGCTCTTGCCGTATAGTTCACTCGCTGATATGAGATCGCAGATACGTTAATATCAACCACTATTGGGACCGTCTCTCCAAAATCCTCATTCTCATCGTTGACGCTGGCCTCAACTGGTATTTTCTCCACGTCGTCAAGGCTCGCCTCCTGAATCAGCATGGATTGGTCAAGTACAAGCCTCTGGTTGGCTTCAACGCAAAGCTGATGGTTCTTTCAATTGCCATGGACGTAAGTCAAGACACCACTACGATCATGTAAAATGTTCAGAAGGCTGACAATACACATTCAGGCTATGCTCATTGGCCTCATGTCACTTCCAAACCAAGTCGTCTACATCCAGTTCCACCCCGTGGCCTACATGGTCAAGCTCAACATCGAAATGTCAATGGCCTCATTGATCACACGCCTCGCAAAGGATCAAGATAGCGGTTTTAGATTCAACTCCCTCTCATACTCCCAGGGACATTCCCGAGGTCATCGCACGAACCCAACTGGTCTTGACAACGGTCACAACGGCCACCACGAAACCGGAGGTCTTAAGAGTTTCCATCGCGCCAGCGTCGGAGCCGTTCCTGAAGATAGAAATCTCGAAGCCATCCGGGAAGCTAGAACTGGTATCCACCGAAGAGTCGATGTTGAAGTCCGCGTTGAGTCGCACTCGCCGAAGTCGAACCCTGCCTCATCTTTCAGCGGGCGCAACGATGATGCGGCGAGCGGAAGCTCTTTCTACAGGGTTGATGATGAGGACTCGCTGACCAGCAATCCCGGACATCCTCGGTCATCGGAGAAGAAGGAGATGAGGGATTAGGTGATGCGGCTATGTAATTGATGGTAATGGTTGGGATGGATGCATGCGGACTTTGTTCTGGCATGCTATGATCAAGGCTCTTTTTCGTTACGAATACCCCTGTGCTATACTCACAACGCCTCTTTTCTTTTGTATACTAGTCCTTGATGATATGGGCGAGAATGATTAATATCAAGCCTCCTGAGCGTACTAGGAGGATCTCATTGTAAGAATTCAAGATTGTCTTGTTCTCATAATCTTGCCTATGAACGATCATTTCACGTTGCTTGCTCGAGACTCTAGCTGGCCTCGAAAACCTCGAAACCAACCAAGTCAGGGGCCCAAGCACTTCCAAACGACTTGAACTCCACCGTGTTCGAGCTATCACCCTTGAAGCCATCAACCTCAACGAGCAAGCGGCCAGTGTCAAACCAGTTCCCGCCGGAGATGGGGAAGGCCCACCGTTTCTCGGTACCACCATTGACGGAGATGGTCAAATTACGGGTATTGGACCCAAACTGCCACGCGGAGTCGAGGGCGATCTCATAGTTGATGAAGTCAACGCCTAGCAGCTTCTTGCCCTCTGACTTGGCCTCGACGCCCTCAAACTTGACCGCGGCCCCTGAACCGATATTCCCCACCTTTGTGCTGCTCGGAAGACACTGACCCTCTGCGCAAGTAACCTTGGAGGCTGAGCCAGACAGCGCGGCGTCAGTGGCCGTGTAATATCCGGCTGACGCGTCGACGGCGGGTGCCGTCGTGGAGAGGTCCGAGAGCACGAGCAACTTGAGTTCGTGGCCGTTCAACGTCGTCTCGTACGTGCCCGAGATGGAGCCGATGTCACTCGCCGTCCATACGTCACGGGCGTTGGCCGAGGCGACACCCAAGACGGCCGCGAGGTCGACGCTCACGGCCTGGGAATCGTTCTTCCAGTTTGCCAGGCCGACCACGAGGCGGGAGCCCGATAACTCGCCGGCCCAAACGTCCCACTCCTCCTCGGTGTAGCGACGGACGAGTTCTGTCTGCTTGGCGAGGGGGTCTTGGTTGAGAGCGATGACTTCCTTGTTGACGAGGATCTCGTGGGCTGATTCCGGGACAAGACCGGGGATAGCGGGGGCACCGAGGGTAAGGGGAGACTTGTTGATGGCCCACATTCCCATGTGGAACTTCTCCTCCTCAATCGACAGGGCGCTGAGACCAATGCTAGGATGATGTTGTCAGCGCCGGAATTAAAACGACGCAATCCTGCGGAAAGAAGTTGACTACTCACAGCAACATGTCCATGTCGGGGAAAGCACCTGGGCCGGTGTACTTGTAAAAAGGAACAACTTGGTTCGTGATCCGCCAAATGCTGCGCCAGCCGTTGTAGATGTCGTTGCTGATTCTCCAGCTGTTACCAATTTTGGGCGCCCTAGTGATCAAGTTAATTCCTTGTGAAAGCTTGAGAGAATTTCGCTACCGTGGACGACGCACCAGATACCCAGGTCCGTTCCAGTTCCCCATTGGCAGACTTGGTAGAGGATGTCTCGATCCGTTGTGTTCAACGCATCTGCCATCGCTACGAAGCGATCCGGTGAAACGGCTTCTTCGGAAACGTAGTCGACCATAACCGTGGGCTCGACCGCGTAGCAGTTATCGTATCTGATGTGCACCTCGGATTAGCACCTGACCATTCTAAGGGCTCTACTCCTTGGTGAACGTACTTCAGGGAATCTGCGCCCCAGTCGGCGAATGACTTGGCATCGGTGAGCTCATGATCTGAAAATCTTGTTAGGACTATCTGGTACACTGAACATTGGAGTTCCGGGTAATTACTACTCACCGAGAGAAGCGGGCTGATCTGTGGAACCGCATTGGTAGTATCCGCCGCCGGAGTATACGCCGAACTTCAATCCGAGATTGTGGATGTAATCACCGAGCTCCTTGCCGCCTCCGGACGGGAACAACTCCGGGTTCCACACGAGCTCGCCGTCAGCGGAGCGCTCCTTGGCCGGCCAGCCGCAGTCGGTAGTCACGGTGGTGTATCCGGCGTCGGCTAGACCCGTGTTGATCAAGGCGTGTGCGTTCTCTTTGATCAGCGTCTCATTGGGGTAGCAGTTGTAGTAGTTGTAACTGTTCCATCCCATCTGAGGTGTCGGCGTCTTATGGGTCTTGGCCGAGGCGCGAGCGGCGAGCGCCGTCAGGAGCGTGAACGCGAAGGAGGTCATGGTTGATGATCCGATAAGGTCGGGTTGAGATTCTCAGAGGTCCGCAACTACCACAACTCTCCCTACAACAACACCGCAGTCTGTCGTGGGATACTCATGTTTATAAGTCAATTGCAGGCCATTTCCCGTGCGCGAGAATGCAACCGTCTCTTCGCACGGCCCCGTCTTCCCCGGACTTGACTCAATGCCACCCTCGGCCTAGGTGAGGTCATCACGATTCTACGCGCACCATTGAAATATCGTTCCGGTAGTTCCAAGATCTCCACCAGTTCCCCAGGGGTAAGGAAAAGCCACATGATGGACGAGTTGGGGAAACAACGCGGGGAAAACGGCTGGGCTGAGTAAACTTATCGGGGTAAACGTCCCATTGACGGACACGACCACTCGGACTCGGGCGCTTATAAACAAAATGCGACATCGTGCAGCGGTTGTGCAGATGTGCCTGGCTCCACCCGGGCCGCATCAGTCTATCAGATGGTCCATGGGCTTAAACTGGCTTAAAGGCCGGTCAATGCCAATGTTTCCCCCGCAGTTGAGGAGGAGTCGTATCAGGGTCGCGGCTAGGGTGGGATGGGAACATTGAATGAAATAGGAAATCTAGGCGGGCGTTTGACAAGGTTCGCGATGGTGGGGTTGAGATGAGATTCGTTTGCTCGGGTTTGCACGACTCATGCGCCCTGTCTTGACTGGACACATGTACTTCAGTCTGGATGTCACCTCACTGACACGCGCTCAACTTAGAATGCGATGGATCAAGATGTGCTCTACCGAACCCAAAGTCGGTAGAGTTCCACGGCTAAAAGACTTAAACTCAACATCTACACTACCCACACCAGGCCATTGTCAAGACCCGCCATTTCCAAGTCTCGAGCCAAGACAACCTGGGCGTCTGTATCCGGGCGAATCCTACTCTCCCGTATGTGTTTCACCGACCTCGCCTGTCGCTTCGCGGATTACTAGACCAAGTATCTCAGAATTTGACAATCTGGGTTCTTCCTCGCTAGAATCATCGGTACTAATGGACCAGCAGCAGCGCTTGTTTGTCGCCGCGGTAAACATCTGTGTCCAGCTCTCAGTTCGATTTGTCTCCCGATCCAGTGACAATCGAGGCTACGTAGTCTCGATCACCATCGTTCACTCTGAAGAAATCTGAATGCGCTATCTTGACCGTGTCCTCAGCCGCAGCCGGCTCATCGAAGGTAGCATATCGTATGGAGCCAGTGTTGTGGTATGTGCTAACGATCTGTCGGCTACGAACTAAAGGCGTAGTAAACGCTCTGAGGATAAGCTTTGCGAACAGAATCTTCTCGTATGTATTATCGGGATTTCTTGAGTGGATGACGATTTCTAAGAGTTGGGCACTCAAAGGGCTTGGCCCTAGTATCGTCGATTCCTCAAATGGAAGTACCATATCACCAGTCACGGCCCATGACCATGGAGGGGCGCGGCGGTTGTCTCTTTCGTGATAGCAGAAGTTTCCCTCGGGAATCCACAGGAAGCCACGCCGAAAGTCCGAAGTTCAGTGACCGGCCAGATAGTCCTCTCCAAGAACTGGATGCAGATGTTGTGTATACCCGAGAAGGCCGGTAGATCACTTGAACTGTACGTAAGCTTCCTTTGAGTATATGCGTTCACTACTTCGTAGTAGTTACATAGAATGACATTTGTTTCCAGGGGCCCGGGAGAGGGAGAGGCAAGCTCACAGGGTAAAGGACATGTTGTGATCATATGGATATTCCTTGGAGACAGCATATACTCGTGAAATGCCACTCGTGTTTACAACGTACTATTTCTACCAAGGCTTCGAAAGTCCTCTTCATTTTGATCTTTCCGCCAGACAGTAGCCACGGGACTATGTTGACTGGTCGAGATTTGGATTGTGGCATTGACGCTTACTTCCTGCTGTCTACGCATGGTCTGACTTGAGTAAACCTTTTCTACTTTCTGTTGACACCATAGCAGAAATTGTATTGAACCGTCGAGTTGCGGTAAACCAACCTCATTCTTTAGAACTCATTCTTCCGATCCGACTCGGGGTCTTATTAGGTACAAAGACAGTCTATCCGAAAGAAACGAAATTCCATACTGCGAGATATCATGATGGCATCTTGGAAATTCTGAGAAAGCTCTTTGACGGCGATGGAGTCTTGAAAAGGCCCTAAGGTTTCGGCCGCCAGGGCAGGGGAGATTGCACCACCAGAGCAGTGACTTAGAGGAACGTATTGATCTTTCGCGCCTTTCATCGGGGGTGGCCTTTAGCGTTGTGTATGCTCCCTAATAACTGGGCTGGTAGCAGCATTACCACAAGTGCAATCAAGTCGACTTTGGCGCCCATAGCTATCAACTTGGTTGTAATCTTTCTGAGGTTTGCTTATTGCCTTACCTGCAAGTATAGTGACGGAGCGAAAATCGTACCATTGTGCTGTATACAAAAGAGAGACTCCCCTCAGGCATTCATGCAATATTGGTACACGTTTCAACAATGGTTCTGTGATATGGCAAGTCAATCTCTATGATGACCGACGTTATCACGGTTGCTATGCTTCATCGCAGGGGTTATGTATAAAGCACTCAAGAATGAGTTGACATAAATTGCAGCTGTCGTTTGTGACCTGTGTTAACACGTCGTGCGATTCATGGTGTCGGTAGAATGCCTTTTCAGGAGACCCGTGATCTTGGAAGTCAACCTGGGCAGGCTCAGCTAAGGCCTCGGTTGTGAAACTTGCGCAAGGAGCGTACTGGTGATCCATTATGAGATGTGAGGGTTTCAGAAGCGTGCGGGAAATACGTGGTTGGCGCAATGATCTTACCTCGCACTACGTGGTGATTGAGCCAGCTCACGAATCAGATGTGCTCTTACGAAACCTGCGACTGACTGGCCCGTATCATAACGGAACATCCTGATATTTCTGCTGGGCACCGTTTCGCATTGTCCGTCATAAGGTCCTCCGTGCAGAGTTCCAGTGAGTCGTTCATATCCTCAGTAATAGGGGAGGCCATTTCGGGTTGAGAAGTAATAAGGTAACGTATGTGATATCTGCTCACTTTCAGGAATAATCCAACTACTTGCTCCCAGCCGCCTTTGCGTATTGCTCACCAAACGCACCATACCATCTGCCAATGACCTCTCCAGCCATCCCCGGCCCGATGGTCTCGACACCGTCCTCCAATTTACTACCAACTTCCTCCATAAATTCATCCACGGTGAGAGCATCCGGGTTATTCTCCTTCTTGTTGTCGTCTGGATCCGATCGCTCTCGGTGCAGGTCAGTTGCTACCGTCGGTGGCGCAATTTCTACAACTCTGACTTTGGAACCGCCGTTCTTGAGCTGTGTGCGAAGATTCATGCTCCAAAAGTGCAGCCAAGCTTTGGTACCGTTGTAGACGGGGTTGATGATGGAGAATGGAACGAAGCCAAGTACACTCGACACGTTGATGATGAGTGCGGATTCCTTGGTCTGAAAGTGTGGTAACAGGCCTAGAGCCAGATGCATCGGGCCTCGAATATTGATGTCGATTTCTTGGTCAGCCTTCGAGAGGAAATCGTCGTCCTTGAGAATCTCCAGAGGACGTTGCACCCCGGCATTGTTGACAAGGCAGTCTAGGTCAGGGTGTTCCTTGGTAACACGTCTGACAAACTCGGGGATCTGTTCAGCCTTGCCCGTGTCCAGCACGTAATAGTCGACAGCCCCGATCTCTTTTGCTGTTTCTTGTAGTTTCGATTCTGTGCGTCCAGCGATGATGACCTTTTTGCCCTTGGAAATGAAGTGTTGAGCCATCACCTTGCCGATGCCACCACCGCCACCGGTGATGACCGCATATTTAAATCCTAGGTTGTCTTCTGGGGGAGCCATGTTCTCGTATCGTCGGATTGAAATAATGAATTGATGATGATGCAGTAGACCAAATCTTCCAAGGGTGTTTAAGAGGGTCGCCGGCTACATGCAATATAGCCGAGGTGATGGTGGATGAAGTATAAATGGATCCAAGACCCAGGAGAGCTTGATAACAAGGCAAATGATACTAGTGGGGTGTTGAATGTGCTAGTGATGATGCCGAAATTTTGTCACCTTTCGAAACTTAGCTATTAGGCGATGTCGCCGGCTTCGGCTCAACGACGTCATCATCTGTTAGGGGCTGTACCTTTGGCCATAATTGTGGCGCTTTACCGTAAATCATTTAAGGTAGGTTATCATGGAAATCGATCCCTGGGTAAGGTGACTGACTTAGCGCAGGTCGGGAAAATGCTCCTTGGCAGACTGTATCCAGCGACCTTGGCGAATCTAGAATGAGTTGGCTTTGGATGTGGTCGCAACCTCGACCATTAAAATATGTCTGTAAGATAGAAGCGTTTATTCTTGAAAAGAACGAGTGGCCGATTGACAGGAAGTTTCTAAGATGCTTCAATGATAAGCAGGTGTTCTCTTAGACAAATATGGCTAATGTACTAATCTAACCGGTATGCGGTATTTGTACTAAGGTATTTCATTGTCAAAAAGCCAGTGCTCTGTGAACTCTCCCAACTTACATCGAAATCATGCTAAGAGAAATTCTTTGGGAAATATCCTTAGAAGCCGACGGTCGCTGGGTTTGCTTCTCTAAATTAAGGTGATGTCGCATCGCTTCCTCTTCGGCGATAGAAGGACGTAATCCTTCATTTCCATGCTGTCGGCTGGCATGTTTGGGCCTAGTCTTGCCCCGCGACATCTTTTGAAGAATACAGCAGTGGAAAGCCGGAGCTCCATCATTGCCAGATATTGACCAATACAGACTCTGGCCCCAGCTCCTAACGGGATGTATGCTTGCCTTTGTTGGAGGGAAACTTTGGTCGGGTCAAGGTATCTATCAACATCGAACCTAGACAGTCTCGAGTTAGCTAGTGCCTTTCCAGATGGATATGCTAGGTAACCATACCGATGAGGATCTGGGAACACCTTAGGGTCGCGCTGCAGACTGTAGGCTGGGCTGTAAACAACAGTACCTGCAGGCACAAAGTGCGATGACAGCGTAGTCCCCCCTCCTGGAATAAGCCTTGGTAGAGATGAGAGGACGGCGGGATATAAGCGCAAGGTCTCTTCTATGACGGCACCTAGTATGGGGCACGCCTCGAGTCGTTTATCGTCAAAGTTATCGCCGAGTAGTGCAATCTCATTCTCAAGCTTTTCCTGCAGGACTGGCTGTTTCAACACCGACCAGATGAGATAGGTCAAAACGGCAGCGGTTGTGTCTGTTCCTGCAACCATCATACCTGCACCCTCCATACCGACGGCCTCCTTTGTCAACCAAGTCCGACCTTCACTATCACATTCTGCAATCATTTCCGTAAAGATACTTTGGGCTGATGATGGACCTCGCTGTTTGACACTCGCTACGCCATCTGCACCACCAAGTCTGACTTGCTCAAGCTGCCGAGAGAATGTTTGAAGCAGTGACCGAGGTATGAGTTGGGATAGAGAGGCGAGGAATGGGATCTCGCATTGGATGACATCCGCTATCAGAGCATTCTCAATGGCTCGCATGTACATGGTACTCTACAACATGATACATGTGGTTAGTCCGTCAGTATCTCGGTAAGATCTAAGGATAGGTAGATGTTCTTTCATACCTTTCCGGATTCCAGCACCCCCAATGATTGCCCAAATGAGAGCTGGCTGATGACATCAGCGGCCATATACGTCCACCACTTGTGCGAGTTTGATGAGCCCGCCAAAGCCTCTGTCTTGATCTTCATGACTGCAAGCTCAACTTTACTCCTAATAGTCGATTCCCAATTTTTTCGTAGAGATGTAATGGCGAAGGAGCCCTGCAAAAGTCTTCGCCGCTGCTTCGCCTCTTCGCTGTTCAGAATCATGGACAGAGATAGGGCTGGAAGCTTCGTTGCGTAGTCGCCAATCCATTGCGCCTTTTCGAAACCGCCGCCAACCTTGTAGACTTGGGAAACTGATTGGATATCGATGCATGATAATTCATTTGGTGCGATTCTGACAATGCTTCCGTACCTTTCGTGGAGCTGGTGTACGTATGTCATGCGGGTTCCAGTCAACCGGCTAAGCTTCAAGCTCAGTCTTGAGCATCGTGTGTGCCAAGGCCCTGGAATATGCTTGAGAGGGGAGTTGAGGTACTGCAATAAGAGCTGCTTCGATCAGCTGGGGATACTTGGCGTTTGTCAGACAGAGTGCAATTTACGTTGCAGACTACGAGAACCCCTGTAGCTCCAACTAATGCCATGACCATGGCCCATCGATCGAATTCATCTTCGGGGTGCAAAAGTGTGACCCCCATGGCGAGTCTGCACCAAATCAACACCTGGAAAGATTGATTTCCAACAATTTACCAATTCATGAGGGGGTAACGACCACGACTATAAGGGAAATCCGCCACCTTTTCTCAGTAGAACGCCGGAGGAACCGGATTAAACGCCAGCGGCAGTTCCAACACAGACACTTCCAGATTCTTCAGCATCACTGTGCCACTTGATCACCTGCCACAATGGCTGTCTCGCTGACGAATGAGAACATAACGTTTCCGCCTTCCAACAACCAACGTCACGTTGGGGCGATTTGACTGGCCTCGGCAGTGATTAGAACCATGTAAAAGCATGCAGGCCAAGATGCTTTCGTGCAAAGGCGCCCTGTTGGACCTGTGACATTGGTTGGTTTGCTGAGCTGCTATCTTCACCTGCAAACATGTAGCAAACAAGGTGGGCCTGCTTGGTTTAGCTTGCGGCACAGAATACTGCGAAGTATGTTACAGGCTTCAAACCCCGTGCCTGCGTTCCTTTCCCGGGGTATGACTTCCATGAACGGGCAAGCTAAAGCTAGAACAAATTGTGGAAGGAGGTGGGAAAATGGAAAGCGAAGAACTGGGTGGACTGATTGGGCCACGAGAATTCCGGAGCACTTTCAAGTCACCCATGGCAGCTGGACTTGGCAAAGTTGGACTGGGCCGAGCGCCAACAAGGACAGTCTTCTCAAATGTCCAACAGCTTTCTAGCTCCGGACAGTTATGAACTTTACTATTGCGCATCATTCTTGAATCAGCTTGATCCTCTGTTCCCATTCAGAGCCGACCTGCGGCCCTTTGGCGAGAAGCAGGCGATGCTTTAACTGCTTTCGGTTGAATCTGAGTGGATAAAAGTCTTCCCACCCCACAGAGGCTGGGCCTTTCCCACAACACGCAGACCCGCAGGTTAATGAAGTTCTCATTCGCATGATCCACGCAACAAACACATGGTCTGGTGGTGTAGTTGGTTATCACGTCAGTCTAACATCGTGAACGCATCTTGCGCTTCACGTGGTACACTGAAGGTCTCCGGTTCAAGTCCGGGCTAGATCAGAGGATGGGCGATTGGTTTAGTGGTATAATGACCGCTTAGCATGCGGTAGGTCCTGGGTTCGATTCCCAGATCGTCCACATTTTTGCCCTCAGCGACTGCGCTTCCTCTTTTGATTGTTGGGCCGTCTCAGATTTGACTCTTCTGGGCGGTTTGAAGTCAATCTTCGAGTTGCAGAGAGTGATATGCCCGTCCGTGTGGTATATTAGAAACGAGGGTGGCCATGAGCGAGGGCAAGTGCTTAATCAAGTTTATGGGTTGGGGGTGTCTTCAATGGCCCCAGACTGCAAGCCATCTTTCTGCGCTGGTAGTTCTGGTGGTCGAATTCGACATGCGTACAATCTTTAGAAGTACCAAAGACGAAGGCTGATGGTAACTGGCATGATAAAACATTACATTGATCATCTAGTTCTGTTATGCCTTTGCGGCTGTGTCTAGCTTTTGCTCCTAGATTTACTGAATCTCCGTAGGAGTAACAATAACCCAGTTCTTGTCCGCGGTGACGGGAAGGTTGTTCGCCTTCTGAGCAGCAGTGTTGTTTACAATCATCTCGTTCATGGTCGCCATAGCGCTGTCCTTGCGGTTGATCCAGAGGTGAATGCCGCCCTTAGCAACATTGACGCCGTGGAAGATCATGGGGCCGTCGCTAGCGGGGGTGTCGCCGCCAGCCAAGATAGGTCCCTGCCACTCGTTGATGTAAGTGAGGATAGCCGCCCACTTGCCCTGCATCCAGGTAGCAGGAGTATAGAGGTAGGGAGTGATAACGAGGTCCAGGTTGGCCTCCTCGTTGTAGGTGCCGTCCTCGATCTGCTTACGGCTGGTGGTGAGATCGCCGGAGGTCAGGTTCTTCATGAGCATGGTGACGCCGATGACGTTCTCAGGCTTGACGTTGTAGCCGTACTTGGGGTCGGCAGCGACCATACGGACCAGCTCTTCAGCAGCGGCAGTGATAACGTAGACATCAATGCCGTTGGCCATCAACTTGTTGTAGAGCTCAACCTGGCCGGTGAAGATCTTGGGAGGGCTGACCTCGGTGGGGGTGATAACGTCGCCCTCGTAGTAAGTGGTAGGAATGGTACGGTTGAGAGCCATGAGATCGTCTACGTGCTCCTTGAGCTCCTTCAAAGGAATACCGCTCCAAATCTGAGCTGCCCATGGGTAGCAAATAATGTCGTCAATGTCGCACAGGCGGAGGTAGTAGCTGTACAACGTCTCGGTGTGGTTTGCCGTGTCCTTGAATGGAATGAGCTTCAGGGTGGGGTCCATGGTGTCACGGGTAAGGACACCGATGCTCTCGAGATACGGCAGCAGCGACTCCTCGAGATCGAAGCGGTAGCTGGTGTTGTCCATGTCGAAGACGGCGTATTGGCTCTGGTTGGCGTTGGCCGCGATCATGGTGTTGAGAGCCTTGGCCGCCTCGGCCGGCCAGTGCTTCAACTCGGGGCCGGCAGTGTGGTTGGAGGCGTAGACCGACGGGGCGGCATTCGCGACGCCACGGGCGATGGCCAGCCCGAGCGAGGCAACGATGAGGTTCATAGAGGTCTTCATGTTGACGGTACTGGAGATGGAGCTAGTAACTGAATAGAGCTGCAGCTAGCCAGAAAAGACCAATGTGAAGGAAGGTATGATTGCCGGCAGTGAAGAACGGGCCGAGAGCTGGGGGAACGGAGGAGGCCATTCATTTCCCACGGCGGCCGGGCCGCTGCCGCGTTATAAACAAGTCGGCGGCGATTGTAGAGGGGCCTCACTCTGCCAACTTCTCGCTTTACCTCATTTTAGCTAATCATGGTTCTTCCTACTCGCTTACCGGTGCTGAGAACCTCAGTCTGGTAGATACTGGGCTTTGCCAAGGTGAGAGAGGTTTACGCGGGTGTTGGCGGCGGCGTCCGCGACGTCGTGCAACATCCACTTTGTGGGGTCAACTAATCTCTTCTAGCTGGTTGGGGTAACATTCGTGACGATGAGCGGGATTATTGAAATGAGCTAAATGATAAACTTTTCGTCAGCCTGTGGGGGTTTTCCGGACAAGCCTGATAACAGCGCGGTGCGTGCGAAGACATCGCGACGTTTGGTATCTTTTCCGAGCGTTGCGTCAAGCTGAATGAGCTGCTCAGCCCTACAGCATGGCGTGGAGGACGTGGAGATCTCCAGACTCCCACTGAGCCGCCAAGCCGAACTGTTGCTCACGTCACAGGGGTCCAGTACGAATGAACCATGGTCCATATCAGATGAACCACGTTGTCGGGTAACATTGCCGTTGCCGGCTGTTCGGACTTGTTTGGGTGGATAACGAGAATATCCAGGACAATGATATGTCCCATGTGCTGTTATCTAGCCGCGCAACTGGCCTGAACTGTTTCAATGCCTGGTTTCCAGGTTTGCTGACAGCACCCGGAGTTGCCGTCGCGCCTCGGTGTTGCTATCTCTCTAGCTCTTGGAATTCTGCACCTACTTGAGTCAAACCGTTGCTGCGTCCCTGGACTCTCAATTCACCGCGGAGGCTATCCGTATATGCAGTCCATAGGAAGTAGTACCGACAGCTTGGTTCTCGTGTTTTCAGTCACGTCAATCAATCAATCATGCCAATGAAAGTGCCGGTGTTTGCGGCTTGGAGGCAGGGGTTGTTCGCGGGGACAACACCGCAGTCCGACAATCAGCGAACCCTGCTCGTGAGCACCAATTGCATCCCAGCCGAATTGCGAGAGAGACAGTAATCCAAATGAAGCTGCAGACAGCTTGGCCTTCAAGTTCTGAGACTCCAGATGGTGAAAATAATTACAATTCTCTGAAGTCGTACGGATGGATGGTCGTGCAGCATAGCGAGGAAGTTAGACGCCGACCGGTGGGCGGCTGTGTCTAGTCGCACAGTTTCACCTAAGATCAGGATCATTTACCTGCATCGACAAACTTGCAACATCAAGGAGTGCGACGGGTTATATAAGCTCGAGAACGTGATGACAATGTCTTCGCAATAAAGTTAGACTCCAAAAAACCAAGTCGGAAGAATCACAGCTGTCAAGATCTCGACTCCGGGCATCGGGCAATCGTCCGGACGACAAATCCTCCGCGTAGAGACTGCACCACCACCCGATTACCGCTCCAACCAGACTTTGGTTCCCCGACGCTTCGACCGAACGCCTCAATCTTGGATCTTGCCGCAAGTCCGCTACGAAGAATACAACGTCTTGTCCCGAGCGACAGGCCGAAGATACCGTGCTTCCTTCATCCGGCGTCAACACAGAGTTCCGGCTTACTTTCACGCTGATCTAACTCGCACTGACGCCCTTATAAGACTCTAGCCCCGAGTGTTCCAGGGTCACCTAGTTCGTAAGTGAATGCTTCAATGCTTTTGTCTCTATTACAGTAGAATATTTTGAATCATCTCTGTCAACATGGCGCATCTCAGTGGACACACCTCCATCCCAGTGGATGACGTCTCATCCCCGAAGGACGTGACCTATGCCGAGTCTGACAGCACCACCGAGCTCAATGCTGATAGCGACACTAGCATCTCAGAATCAGGAGGCAGGTCTGTCACCACCTTGAGGCGGAAGATGGCACAATCAAAGCCCATTAGAGAACAAGTCGGGGGCTTGTTCGAGGAGAACGTCACTGCCAAAATCTTCCGAACAGCCACAGATGCGCTTGTGAACAATGTAAGTTGCAATGCTCTCACCCCAAGATGTCAGTTTCTCACAACGTACAGGATCCTCCTTTGGCATATCCAGAGTACGTCCTCCAGACGGGCCCGGAAGCCGGCAAGTACATCTTGCGAGAGGCCGATTTCTGGACGTGTGGTTTCTTCCCAGGCAACATCTACTCCCTCATTGAGAGACTAGTCAAGTTCCCTCACACCATGCCCGGTGGGCAAGACAAGGCGGCTTTGCTGTCAAAGCTATGGTCGCTCGGTGCCTCATGGTCAGAACCCCTACACACCACAGCCAAGCGC